TTTTTCAGTTCTGGGATTGAAAAGTTGACAACACGTTGGGAAAAATGTATAGAAAATAGGAGTACATTTGAATAAAAAAATTTTAATTTATTAAATTAGTTTTACACAATATTTTTTCCTGTGAAAACTGACATTTCATATTGAACGACCTAATACTTAAAAACCAATACATTTATAAATTCGAGAATTTATTTTCTGTGTAGTGAGATATGGCTCTGTTTTCGCAATTCTAAAAACAGTTTTAAAGAAATATTTTATTGTTGTCATTTTCTATATATAATGTCTAGTTCTTCGTTATTACAGTTTTTTTTTTAAATATGTTTTTGGTTATAAGTTCTGTTTTTGAGAAACTATTTTCTAGGGGAGAGGTATGATCAATATTGTACCTACAACCACGATTACGGAAATTAAAATTCATCTTTAATGACAATTTTTTTTTTCGGTTGATCTCGCGGAAACATTAAAAAAGTACAGCGACATTTCACTTTTTTCTGCATGTGATATTTCTCTCACAAAACATACCTTTAAATATAAATGATTTTCCATGAAACTATGGAGTAATATTTATTGAAAATTGGATAAAGTGCATTGGCGACTTAAATACATTTATTTAACTAAAGAGTATAAAAAACAATCCATTTCAAAACGAGTTAATATACAATTAAAGCACACTGGATAACACGTGTATTTACTGTGTGTTAGAATTATGTCATTGTTGAATGAAAACTAAATAATTATTTTGGAACTGGCAATTTTTCTCAAATTGAATGAAAAGTCGGACCTTAAATAAATAGTTATAATAAAACAGTATATTTATTAAGATAAATATAAACAAATAAAGAAACGAAAATTAAATAATTTTTTTTCGGTTCTTGGTTTGTTTTTGGCTTCCTTAATTTATTTTTTATTTGGAAAGAGAAATAATCAATTGTGTTATTTATTTAAGTATTTCAACTTTTGTTAGCGCTAGTGGTTATTTTATTGAAATAGAGATACGCGATTCAAGAATAACAGTTTCAGAAAAAAAATAATTTATTCTCACATTAATTTTTATTACAATCAATGAAAAAAAAATTAAAAAGCGATTAGTGTTTTTTTTTTAAAAGAAGGAACTTCTTCCGTTCATTATGTGTACTTTTACATTTTTTTCTGTTCCATTTGTCGACGTTTCGTGCTCATCTTCATAGATAATTGTTGTTGGTTATATTTTTTTTTTTATAATACAAATTGCAATATTTACGCTATGTCACTTGTATATCCACAAACATACATTTTATTTCGTCATATTCTAAATTTTTTTACAGTAAATTACATTTTTGTAAAGGAAGTTGTTCATTTCAATGTCACTCTGCTAATCAGTGTACTACATTACTCATCCTCATTAAATAAATAGTGGATAAATTAAAAATCTATTTTTTTCTCAATTAAGTTCAGTAGTATTTCTTATACATAAGATAAGTACCTATAAGAAATAAATGGTATTAGAGAGATTCTTGTAATTTTGATGGTTAACTCAATATTCAATTTAAAAATACATAATTACTAGATGTATTTCTTTAATACAGTAGTAAATATCTTTTTTTTTTTATTATGTTGATAGATTTATTTGAATAGTATTAATACAACCTGCAACAATCAAGGGTATTTGGTATTATGGCTCTATGCTTACAAAATATCATTAATAAATAATAAATTAATAAAAAACATAATTTTTTAATTCTTAATTGAATAGTTGCCTATTTCATCAAATATTGGCTCCAACATTTGTCTTAAAATTTATTCTTGGAATATTATTAATTAATTAATTAATGAGATAAAGTTCTAGTTTTATGAACCATTTACACTATCTCCTTATTCATATATTTTTTGGAATACAGACCTTGCTGATCTTTGGTCAACTGAACTGGCCTTTTCCATCTCGAAGACTACTGTCTTCCCACGTGTATTTTGCTCTGTGGTATCTTTTTAATGATGTCTATTCATCTGATTTTTGGGCTCCCATATGATCTCTGGCCAACTATTGTTGTGTAAGATGTTTCCTGATGGATCGCTACATGTCCCGCCCATCCTGACCTCATCGCATTCATGTCATAAGATGTAGACTTATTAGTATCTGTTAGCACTTCCTTATTGGTATTTAATTTAATTAATCTTTTAGGCACGGAGGAGGTGTTAGTAAATTGATCCCAGATCGCTAAGAAAGTCCTGCAGATTCTTCTTTCCAGATTCTGGGGCGTTGTTAAAAGTCCGGGTCCCTTGTGGCAGCTTTTGCCATAGCATTATACACCATAAATTTGATATTTCAAGAGATTTTTGAGACTTTTTGAACAAATGGCATTCATCGTACCGCCACACTGACTTGCAAACCATATTTCGACCGAAGTAGGATAATCAATATGGGTTTAGTTGAGTTGATTTTTTCCTGTTATAGGTATATAGTGCATAGATATTTTATTTATTTATTTTTTATAACACGTTTGAGATCAATGAACTCGGTTCAGTTAGATCTCTCCATCTTCTACATTGCACCTAGTAATAAAACTATAACCGCTTAGTAACTATTTAACTCTAAATCTGTTGGTTATTATTTTTTTTATTTTCGAAACATTTATTTTATTTATTTGTTTAGTTTTATTTTCACTTACCTATATATGAAATGTGGGAAAATATTTCCATCATAAATAATTTCGAATCAAACTGTTCAACAAAAATAAATGTTTTAAGATCCCATGAGTCCAAATAATAAGTCTCGGGGAATGTCCTGAACAGCTTTGCATATAAACGATAAGTCGTACAAAACTGAAATTAATAATTAACATATTTATATGCCTGTGATGTTTCAGCAACGTTTTTGTAAAAATCTACTAACATCTATTGTCTCTCTGTATTATCGATTTTACACATTTTTACAATTTTCTAGAAAACGGCTGTATTGATTTTGATCAAACTGGTCATATCAATGTATATAATTTTATATCAGCTAGACCGCTTTCTCATTGAAATGCCGAATGATCAAAATTTCTTCCATTAAAATACTTTTAGTTTTATTTATTTTTTAATAGAAAATAAATGTTTCCATGGGACCTGTGAATTTTTGCTTTATTTTCAGTCTGTCAGGCCAAAAATAAATAATGCACAGTATTGTTGTATTTCATTATATTTGTCGTTGGTTTATACTTAATGTTATATTTTAAATGTTTTTTTCTCATTTATTTATTGAATATTACAACATTCTGTCACTTGGACATTGGTCATAGTGAGGTAAGATCACAATTTTAAAATTTTAATAAGTTATTTCAAATTAATTTTCTACTTTATGTAGAGCGATGAGTGAAAGTTGTGTGTTGAGCGCACCGCACCGAGTTTTTTAAGCTACTATTTCACGAAATATATAATTAGACCACTCACTTTAAATTATAAAATATTTCATTTCTTGATTGGATTATTAAATGTTTTTTTTCTAAATCAAAATTAACCCTTTGACGGATGAATTCAAAAGTTTATTTTGACTAACTTTATTCAAACTAACTTTATGAAAAAATAGTTTGAGCTTTCAGATATAATATACACAATAGTAGCATTAGTCGATGTGTGTTTAGATGTGTAGACTCCGAAACTGTATTCCTCCAAATATAAAAAAAAAATATTTATTTTTCCAATTTTTTTTTCTTTCTAATAACAGAATACCTATTAGTTTGGTCTATCACATTCACTTTTCTTCTCTAATATTTTGTACCCATTGATTTTTTTTTTTTTTTTTGTAACTCGCTCAATCTTAACCCAGTTATTTTTTTTTTTTTACTTGATTTTCGAATATATATTTTTAAAATAGCTTTTAAAACATAAAAATTTATTCATAAATAAATTGATAGAATTTAATCATAGATAAGCACAGATGGATAGGTAGAATAAAAAAAGATGTTGCATGCAGCTAGCTGGAGAGCAATAGACCAAGATGGCAGAGGTGAAGAAGTCTGGTTCTGGCGGGCAAACGTCTACAAGGCCTGTTAACAAATCCAACAGAAAAAAAAGGAAAATGGAGAATATCCAGAGATGTTTACTTCTTTTAAAGCGATTTAAAACGTTCTCTTTTCATTGATGTTCAGCTCAGCAATGTTAAATTTTATTTTACATACATATTTTTCAATTATAGAAAATTACCCTTCAAAACGGCCTCGAATTTATTATATTATTGTAATAAGCTTTCGTTGCTTTGTACCATATTCATCGATTTTAATTTTTATTACCCCATCTGGATGTCCTTTTTCTTTCAGATTTTTTCCTCTTTCCAATCATAGATAGTCGCACTGTTTTTAAAATATATTGTTAAAGAGGAGAGGAGGTTTTATATCATTTCCGAGCCATGCCCCCCAAAATAGTAAAATATTAAAAAAAAATATTCAAAAAATATCTCTTAAAGTATTATTGTTCTTGTAATTACATTTAAAAAGACTTTAGGAATCACTTAAACACCATTTCATATAGCTGGTTAGTTTCTTTATTTTTTCCAAAGTTATTTTAATGAAAAAAACGCTTTCGGGCTGAAGCCCTCCCCCAAAATTAAATCTGGATCCGCTAGTGCAGAGCACCGATAGCTTTTTGAAATATATAATAAACTTGAAACTGTTTTGAAATGTTATTTTCTATAATTGAATAATAAAATATACAGTCTACCTATTATTTATACTAATATTATTAAGAAGTATATTCCGTATAATTAACCGTTAGATTTTTTGAAGTTGAAAGTACTGATAATAATTTTGACCTAATGATGGAGTGTTGGGACAAGTCTACTTAGTGGAGAGGTAGTTGCTACGATCGCTGTCGGCAATGAGCAGTTGTGTTGTTACAGCTTCAGGCTTCATCTAGCTATTTTCAAGAAAAAACTTATTAACCGTGTTTGATCGAATCAAAAACAGACTAACATATCGTTATTCACAATACCATATTTCATGAGGACTAGGCGAGAAGATATATGAGAGAGGGAGAATGGACGGATAGGAAAAGGAGGGGCTTTGCCAATGAGCTTACAGGTGGGCGTGGTCGGTAGCAGCCAATGGGGCATCGGCTCGCCTCTCCCCCACCGGTCTTCCCGCAGATGACTGGTGGATCAGTCTGACCGTGAGACCGCTCGAAAGCACACTCAGCAGGCATAAGATGCCTCGGCCGTGCAGGGAATCGTACGGAGACCAGAAGCCGCCTTACTCGTATATTTCGTTGACGGCGATGGCTATCTGGAGCTCGCCGGATAAGATGCTGCCCCTGGCCGACATCTACCGCTTCATCAGCGACAGGTTCCCCTACTATCGCCGCAACACCCAGAGGTGGCAGAACTCTCTCCGTCACAACCTCTCCTTCAACGACTGCTTCGTCAAGATCCCGAGACGACCTGACAGGCCCGGTAAGGGAGCGTACTGGACATTACATCCTGCGGCCCTTGACATGTTCGAGAATGGTTCCTTGCTGCGACGAAGGAAGCGGTTCAAGTTGCTCAAGTCAGACAAGGATCGACTAGAACACGAACTGGCTGCCCTTGCTAATCTTCAACGACCGACGACAGAACGTCCTAGTTACGACCCGGCGGCTCCTGTACCCTGTGGAGTTCAACGCACTTCGCCACAGAGCCCCACCGTCGAACAGCCTCGGCCTAAGAGATCCTTCGACATCGAGAGCCTCATTTCACCAGAACCGGTACCTTCGAGGGCAGTTGGAACATCTTGCTACCCTGCGACCGTTTACCAGCCTCCTCCCCTCCAACCTCAGCATTTCTATCCACCGCCCTACAGGCCCTTCCTCACCGTATGACCTTCTACTTACCGCCATCCTTAGTGACCATAGGGCTGTGTAGCCGTTCAACTGTTTCGGTGTCTTGCAGCGATTCTCGAAAACTCCTTATATTATTTATTCAATTTCGAATCGTAACTACTCATGTAAAAGAACCCTATTTTCGATTATGAGTACGAAATGACGTTTAGTCGTTATTTATTTCAACTATAATAATGCTCTTACGGTTAGTTGTATAAAGTGATTTAACTGAGTAAAAATGTCGGTCCGAGTTGATTTAATTTTTGTTCACTATTACATGTGGTGTAATTGAAACAGTATTTTCACTGCTGCTTTCATACATAAGGTCGAAAGCAATTGATTGGACACATCAATGTCACTAGGCTCGAAGTATATTATTAAAAGGTTTGTATAAATGTAAAAATTAAAGTCACTATAAATTATAAAATCCTATTAAATGGGATTAAAAAGTCGTGTATGTTAAAATGAAGTTGCTAAATAGTTGGGAATAACTGATGGCGGTAAATAGGTAAACAATTGGAAATGTACGGACTGGACCGGCGGAGATCTCATTTGGAACAAGTTGCGGTGGCTGTGATTGATGCTCCTTGCAACAACCGCTCCTTGTAGATTAAACAGGTATACGATTCTATATGTCTAATTAGTATACGTTCCTAGTTTATTTATGACTCCTTTCAACCATTAACCGGTTATAAATAAATATCTTCACTTTTAAAAAGAGTGCTTGAAGCAATCATATTTTTATTGTCATTTAGAGTTGTTAAAAATGTGTATACACTTTTTGTGAAGGATATAAATGTCATATTTTGACAAAACATTATTAAAATTATTCTGTCCCATGATTATCTAATAAATTTAGATGAAATTTAATAATAATTTTATGTTTTATCTCGATTGTGATATAAATATATATTCTTACATATAGGGGTATGTGTGTGTGTGTATTCATTCACATACGCGTAGACATACATGATGTATATGTATGTACACATATATGTTTGTATAAAGATTTAAATTGTTTTTTGTATAGTATAGATATATAATTTGTTTGAATATTTTGTAGATATGTGATGTATGTTCATTTAAAGTTCCTTAGCACTGAAGGGCAGATTTATAGAAATATATGTGTACAGTCTTTAAAGATGTTTTATTTATTTTTCACCAATCCATTTTATTCCTTACCTCATCCCCTATCATGTTGTTTATAAGCATAAGATTCTAAAAATTTTGATCATAGTATAGTGTCAAAAGTATAAGTAGACAATATATTATATAGTATTTATGAGCACACATCTATTCATGGTGTGTATAGGTATAATGTTACAGCTGATTTAAGACAGTGGGCAGCTGAACTTATATAAATAAAGACCCTATAATAAAATAATATATAATATATAATGATTTCAACAATTAAAATTATAACTATTCACTCATTTATCTTTATTATTGGTCAATTTAAATATTTACAAAATATTGAATTTTAAAGATAACTAGTATTTACATATTATAAAATAATATACATATTTTACATACTGAATACAATTTGTTTTTCAATGAATATAAAAGTAATTATGGATTTATGTTCCATATGAAATGTGATAAGAAATGAATGACAGTAAACATTTAGAATTAAATAATTTTATTTAATTGTTTTTATTTTATTTGATGGATGGTTAAGAGAATTTAAGAATGCCATTATCTTATAGATGAGATAATGCGGTCTAAATACATTGCATTATTCAGCCTAATTTTATTATTGAATAAAAAAAAAATTATATTTTCAAATAGTTGCAAAATTGTTAAAGGTATATTTTTACATATTGAGTATTGCATGAAAATTTTTATGAACTCATTTTTTATCAAATAACACATTTATTATATATATTTTTTAAAGCCTGATAAACTCTTGTTGTTGCCATTAATAAATTTACAATGTTAATGTTTATAATATAATTTGGATTTTCAATTGCCTATACATATCTAGTAATTAGTGTAATGTTTCCTAAATAAAAGGTACAATGATTAGTTAAAATACTTACACAGCAATTATATATATATATATATATATATATATATATATATATATATATTTGAGATTATATTCTGGGAAATTTTTTAAATAAATACTTGCAATGATTTGATTAAATATTTTTTTTTATTAATCTATTGTTTCCGTGGCTATTTAGTTTTAAAGTTTGGTTAGTTTAATTTTAAATAACTAAGCAATTTAGTGAACGTTGCCGATATTTGATCGGTTATCATTAATAACCATTTTAATGGTATATTGTTCCATGTTGAAACTTTGTATTATAAATAAGAGGAAAACAAGATGTATCGCATTAACCGAGTAACATTAATTATTGTTTTTATTTATTTTTTCGGACTTAGTTAACAGCAAATGATGATCGGGGTCTATCGGAAAATATTCACGGCACATACTCTCTAGTATCTTTTGAGGTGTAAACATTTTACAATTAATTAAAAATCTAAAAAAAAACTCAATGTTTTCTTTTTAATGGACCAATAAACGTTTTACCGTTAAATTTTAATTTTTCGGATTAGTATATGAATCGGTTTTATTAATCAGTGTTAATTAATTGATTTTATTGTTTAAAAATCATGAGTTGGAGTTCATTTTATTAATTTCGTTTCAAAACTTATTATTGGAAAATGTTTTTACGGATCCAGATACGAAAGTATATAAGTATAAAAAAAAAATCAAATAATTACCTTAGAGGATGTAATAATTAAAAGTAGGATTACTATTTATGTTTGCAATTTCAGGATTGTTACTTGAATAAAATAAATAATTAATAAAATTTTTTAATTTGTTTTCTGGCGAACAAGTTGAGTTTTATACACATACATTTATAAGAATATACATAAATATGATACCTAATTAACTACATTAATAGTAAAAACCATATATAATATAATATGATATACAAAATAAAATTAGTGTGTTTGATATAACTATAAACAAAACGATCTTTCTTTAGCAAATTAAAATATGATGCTTAATCCTAATATCATATTTACATATAACGTTAAACTTAATTAACATTAAGAATAGATGAAACTATTTATTCTTGAACAAACAAAAAGAGGTTTCTTAATTTTAAACAACTTTCTACATACCAATATAAATAATTGAATTTGTATTTGTTTTCTATTTCTAATAATTGTACTATTTGATTTTCATCGTCGCAATTATCATCAATATATTCATTTAAATACTGGCTTCTAAAAGCTACATATGTAGGGCAATGCAACAGAAAATGGTATAAATCTTCGGGTTCACGTGTATTACAAATGGGACATTCAGCACTTCTATCTAGAAAACTATTTTGAAAGCCGTAAGAAGTAACCTTTAAATTCTCCGGCTGGCACAATCTTAATTGGCTAACCAGTCTATGTTTTTTTATTGGCCCTTTAAGTTTTAGATAATATTCACCCTTAGTCAACCTACTATTTTTTCTAAACTTTCGATTAAATTTTGAGTTCAATATGGATTGAATATCGAGGGAAAATATTTAGTTACTTGAATTAATAATATGATCTGTTTCAACAGCATGTTTGTAAATTATTTAAAAAGTTAATTAAATGAACAAAAATCAAGATTTATTATTGTTGAAGAATAGGCTATTACTCTATCTGTTTGAAATGTTATTGGTATCCATCTAAGCAATTTGTTCATACAAAAAAGAAATAAATACGAACTGTTTTTAAAAACTGACAAATAATTTTTAATAGTAACAACAATAATAATTATTATAAAAATAATATATTTATAAAACAAATAAATTAGTTCAGATATTAATTAAAATAAAAATAAAGTCATAATTAATAAATGCTTGTCAAAATGTTTATTTCCTGTCTTAATGTCACGAAAACCAAAGGAACTTTTTTTTTATTTTTATTTTTTATTAAATTTAGTAGTGCTACAGAGCTTTATTGTTAGTTTTTCAGACCAATACTATTATTACAAACAAATTGTAAAACAAATATAATAATTGAATTTTTATTTTAAACAGCATTTTTCGATTTGAACAAAAATTTGATTATTTAATAACATTTAGTTTTTATTGATAAACCAGTAATAGTTTATTATGACGAAATACCAAAAAAAAAAATGAATATCACATAAAATAAACCAGTGTATAGGTTATTTGTTATATTAGACTAGTCGGGGTAAACAATGGTGGGTGTTATATATAACTTTGGTCATACTGTACACACATATACATGAACATGCGTCGATAATGTGAACTCCAGTTATATAAACAGAATGTATCTTCAGGATTAGGAACTCCTGACTACATGATATAAATTATCAATAACAATTATAGTGGGACCAAATCACGATGATTGTACGAATTGTACATAAGTAGCAAGTTTGAAATATTATTTTTGGTGCATGTTATTATTGTTTTTTTTTCAATTAAATTTTCTTTTACAGTAAGAGATTTGAACTCATATGCACAAATCTATTCACCCAAATAAGAGAACTGTGTAACAATACTAAGTCCATTTAAAGCACAATATGGATTTGTTTACAATCTGAGCGTATATTCATAAGGTACTAATTTATGTTATAAGGGGGCGCTGTATATACTACTGTATATAAATGTTATATTTCAGCAGTTGATTCTGATCATTTCTGTTGATAAAAGTGAACATTTATTTTATTTTATTTTTTTTTATCAAGCTATTATTTACTCTAAGTGCAAACCAATGACAGTTCATACTTATAGTTAAATTAATATCCTTAAAGTTTAATAACTTATTCAAAAAAAATGTCTGCCTTATCTAGGGTGGTATATCAAAGTGGAGTGATGCACATACTGCACCAAATTGTTTTTACTTTTATTTTTTTCTATAGTAGAATTATTTTACATCTCTATGCAATACAATGTCAAAAAAAATTAAATATAAAATATAATAATCCCATGCATTATGTATTATTTATGGAGTGTCATAAAAATAAATTTTAAAAGTTTCCGTAAAAACATTGTTTTTCTATTAAATAATATAAAAATATAAATTATTAGCTGCAACAATTATTGATCATTTGATTTATCGCCATTCTCCATAATCTGTAACTTTGTTCCATATCCATTGTTCTAAAATATTTAATTTTCCAGATGTATAGTATAAATCTACACTACTACTTATATATCCGTTTTTTATATTTCGGCTAATTATTAAACTATTTAATATTTAATATTTTTTTGTTCCAAATAACAATAAGCAACGGTCAATTTTTTCAACAGAATAATTAAATGAATAAAAAATAATATTTTATATATTCTTGGACGAGTCCCTTTACAATAATTAACAAGGGCAGACATGTGGGCCTTTGAGCTTCAGAGATATATAAGCATAAGTGTAAAATAAAGAAATAAATGTGAAAGAATATGTCACCTTCTAACTTTAATCGTTTAACAAAAAAAAAAAAAAAAAAAAACTGAAAATAATTAAAGACAAACTAATAATATATATACATGTTTACAGGAATATCTATTTAAAATTTTATAGGGACTGGGTGGAAAGGAAGTGGTTGAATTGAACTTTAGATAAAGAATTTTTAAAAAAAATTTTACTTCAAGGTGGTTAAGATCTAGCTAACATTAAAATATATTGTAGATTGTTATGACGATTTTAATCAAAATCGTTTTCTTGAAAATCGCAATAAACTCTAAATTGTAAATGATACTCGTGGTTAGTGGATTTGAAGAATAAAATTACTCCAACATCCCAGGCCTATACATAACATAAATACGCCATTTTCGTTTAGTACCACGTTTTATTTTTTAAGCTAGGCTGTTCATATTTCATTGTATTCCATGTCTCTATGAAGATTTTTCAATTTTATAGTGAAGAAAAATAATGCTACTAATGGATTGAGGGGAATAAATAATTTTAGTTGACAAATAATTTAAAAAAAATATTCTGAGGTTAGCCGTTTGAAACTTATAGCATATACAATCCATTAAATAAAAAAAATGATAATTTATTTTTTTTAAAAATATGTAATTGTCTAATTTCCTTTAAAAATTAATTTTACTTCAATTCAAATATTATTTACTAAATAATAATTAAAGAAATATTTGGAAA